TTTTTTTTTTTTTTTGGTTTTTTTGAGACAGGGTCTCACTATACAGTTCAGACTAGCCTTCAGCTCACTTTTTGTAGCCCAGGTTGGTCTCGAACTTGCAATGATTCTCCTTTCTCAGTGTCCCAAGTGCTGGGATTATATGTGTGCACCACCATGCTGGGTGAGACTTTAGCCTTTTAGTTATGCATCCATGAGAGGATAACAGGAATGTTGGAAAATTGGGGCCATATCAGACCTGCTCCACCTAATGGTGGCATTTCTGGGACAGGTAGTCATTGATGTGGTAGCCATGAAGGGTTAAGCACTAGTGGGTTTCTCTGCCTGCAGGCCCCTTGCCTACAGTACACTGGCTGATCTCGTGCACCATGTTCGCCAGCACTTGCCCCTCAGCGACCTGTCCCTTGCTGTCCAGCTGTTTGCCAAGAACATCGATGATGAGTCACTGCCCAGCAGCATCCAGACCATGTCCTGCAAGCTTCTGCTGAATTTAGTGGACTGCATCCGCTCCAAGAGTGAGCAGGAGAGCGGCAATGGAAGGGATGTCCTCATGCGGATGCTGGAGGTATTGATAGATGGAGCATCTGTCTTGTGCTCTTTATCTTGCTTGTTGTTAAACTTAGGAGTGTTTTCTGGCAGGTGTATCAGGTGGCCCACTTGCCCAGCATAGATGTAGAAGTTAGACCGCTTGGGTTCAAATCCCAGCTTGCTTTTGCACTAGCCATATGCTTAGGCACGTTGCTTTTCTTTTTGTTTCTTCATCTTTTTACTGTGCTAACCATAGCATCTGTCTCATAGGGTTGCTGGGAGAGTGAAGTAAAGCTGTGTGTAAGAATTCTTCCTGTATTTCTGGAAGAGTTTGGGGGCCTAGCAGCCACATAGTAGCTCAGGCATGCCCATTTCCATGCCCATGGATGCTCAACAGAGGGATAAGGGATGATTCCCAAGGCCATTGGGCAGTGATGTGGCCCTGGAGGGATGAGTCTGGTGAACCTGGATCACATCCAGTCCCTGCTTGTCAAACCAATCACTCATTTCTGAGCCAGACTTTCCCCTTGGCAAGTGGAAATAGAGGAAAATCCTGGCAATTTTTCATTTAACAGCTGACACAGGAAGTACTCAGAAATTAGCAGTCACTCTTTGTGAAGGGAAAACCAGAATGACATCAGCAACTGGTCTTCATGGTATTTTATTCTTCTATCTGGAATAATTGTTTTTTCATTCTGTCTTTTCCCTGACTTTTCTTACCATTAGGTTTTTGTTCTCAAATTCCACACCATTGCTCGGTACCAGCTCTCTGCCATTTTTAAGAAGTGCAAGCCTCAGTCTGAACTCGGAGCAGTGGAAGCAGCTCTACCGGGGGTGCCCTCTGCCCCTGCTGCCCCTGGTCCTGCACCATCGCCGGCCCCTGTTCCTACCCCTGTCCCACCTCCACCCCCACCCCCTACGCCAGCCACCCCTGTGACTCCAGCCCCTGTGCCTCCTTTTGAGAAGCAAGGAGAAAAGGATAAGGAGGACAAGCAGACATTCCAGGTCACAGATTGCCGAAGCTTGGTAAAAACTTTGGTCTGTGGTGTCAAGACAATCACTTGGGGCATCACATCCTGTAAAGCGCCTGGTGGTAATTCTGCTCTTAATTTAAGAACTGAAATTTTAGTAAGAATGAGTGTTAGTCACTTTAACTTATATGCTGTCTCCTTTTTTCCAGAAGCTCAGTTCATACCCAACAAACAGTTACAACCCAAAGAGACTCAGATTTACATAAAACTTGTAAAGTATGCAATGCAGGCCTTGGATATTTATCAGGTAAGGAAGTGCTTTGGAACTAGATTGTTGAGTGTGGAAGATGGCTTTTAGAATTAGGGGGTAGAAGTGGGGAAATGGGTCTTGGGGTCTATGACTAGGTGGTCAAAGGTATTTGTGCAACTTAACATTGAACATTGAATTCTTGGTGGTAATTCTTTTGATTCTACAAGTATATTTTGTGGGGAGGTGCTTCAAATGGAGTGCAGTAGAAACATAGGAGTTAGGTTTATTTACTATTTCTATTGTGAACACAAAATCTTTTTTCCGCTTTTTCTTCTCCAAATTAAATGTTAGACATTTTAAGGAGAGGGCAGGGCTGGTGAGATGGCTCAGTGGTCTAAAGCACCTACTTACAACAAGCTTAGCAAAGCACAGGGACCGCGGTTCAATCCCCCAGCACCACATGCTAGCCAGCCCCGCCCCCTGGTGGGCTGAGCTGGCGCCACACACGCACATACACACAAATAATTTTTTTAAAAAATTTAAAAAAAGGAGAGGACATTTATTATCTAATTTAGTCAATGTTTTTAAAGTATATGTCTGATAATTTTGTAATGGAATGTATTCATGGCTGGGGAAATAGCTCAGTAGAATAAGCGCTTGCCTGGCAAGCACAGGGTCCTGAGTTAAATCTACAGTACCACCAAAAAAAAAAAAAGGAATGTATTCAGAGGTCAGTTGTAATACTTCTCTCCTACATTAGGTCCAGATAGCAGGAAATGGACAAACATACATTCGAGTAGCGAACTGCCAAACTGTTAGAATGAAGGAAGAGAAGGAGGTATTGGAACACTTCGCTGGTGTTTTCACCATGATGAATCCCTTAACATTTAAGGAAATCTTTCAAACTACAGTCCCTTATATGGTGGAAAGAATCTCAAAAAATTATGCTCTTCAGGTACAAAACTCCTTTCTTACATTCTTTTTTTGAGGGGTGGTGGTGAGGTCTTTATTTTTTAAAGAGAATACAAAATTGTAATACAAATTAAAATAGTGCAGAATTTCATTAAACAAAGTGATAGGAATTTGACAATGTTTGTGGTATATATAATGTTATCTTTAAATTAGTTGTTTAGGTTACAAGATATAAAGTGTGCCAAATGTGAGGGAAAAGTTATAAGAAATTAAGAAAAAAATTTAAGCCTTGACTGCTCCTTTCAATAGACCAGCAGAAATCAGCAGTACAATTATCCAAGTTAATCCTGCATGTATACATATCTTTTCCCTTCTTTTGTCCTTTTCCTCATTCTGGTTTTTCCTTCTCATGACAGATTGTTTCTGTTTCACAGTATCAGATTGTACTTTGTACCTATTGTACCTTTCAGAATTTATTTACTCATTTAGGTTCTTAACACTGGCGAGACAATATGATGTGTGGGTCTTATTATTTCACTTACCCATACAGTCTCTAGTTGTGTCCACTTACCTATAAAAGCCTCTTTCTTACGTTCTTTAAACATTCACTTTAAAATTTTTTGCTGATCTGTTGAACACTTTGTGTTTCATTAATTTTGAAAATAATGTGACTTAAGGATATGCTTATATAGTCAAGTAATCCATAATATTTGGCAAAATGGTTTTCAGAACATTCATATGCATTGGACCAGTTCTTTTGATTCATGGAAATTAAATGTATGTTAAATGCAAGCTGTTGGTATTTGATGGGGAGAGTGAAAGAGATCAGGTGCTGGAAGTGAACTGGTGGCTGAAGGCTCAGCAAGGTCTTTCTTAATTGTTTTCTTTTGGTGGATAATTAATTTCTTGGCATGTCTAATACAGACTTGAATTTTTTGAGGGGGAAGTTTATTTTGTTTGAAAACTGCCGTAGGGAAGGTATTACTTTTATCCTATGCATTTCTTGTTTTGACAGATTGTTGCCAATTCTTTTTTGGCAAATCCTACTACCTCTGCTCTGTTTGCTACCATCCTGGTGGAATATCTTCTGGATCGCCTGCCAGAAATGGGCTCCAATGTGGAGCTTTCTAACTTGTACCTCAAGCTGTTTAAGTTAGTCTTTGGATCAGTCTCCCTCTTTGCAGCTGAAAATGAGCAAATGCTCAAGGTAACACTCTTTGAGATCTAATTAGCACTTGTAGTCAGTGTCATTTTGTTGTTGTTATTGTTTTTCCTTTAATATTTTTAGTTTTGAACAGAAACTTGTGATATTATATGTATGTATAGATTGCTGTTTGAGTTAGACTTACAACCAGAGAGTGGCCCATGTTTCTGAGTAAGCTCAATTTGTTTATCTGATGACAATGTGAAAAATTTTGAATTCTTGAACAAGTATGCCTTTAGTCCCCCCCCCCCCACTCGAGCTTCTATTTTTGGATTATGCATGTTATGCAAAGTAACACAGAAATAAAAAATGTCTTTGTGAAACTTTATTCCAGTTTCCTGGAATAGTTACTACACCAGTAATCTTCCACCGTTAGCAAGTCTTGCTTTCTTCAGTTCTCCATGCAACATAGAAATAGTATGTTTGAAGGCTATTTATTTTACCATGTAAATAAAAAATTGTTACTGGTTTGTGTAAGGTCATAATAGGGATTTGTCTCATGTAACCCTATATAATTGGATTTTATTTTTGGAAATGTTAAATGCTATCCATAGTGACATCATCACCCACTGAAAGCAGAAGACAGAACCCACTTTAAGCACTTATGACAAAAATTTTTTGTTCATGTAGAAAGTTTACTATTCTCACCGGTTGTGTGTACAGAGGAATGTTTTCCATAGGAGAAGTTTTGAAGATGTAAGCAAATAAATGGCAGGTGATGTGAAATACAGTTATCTAGTTTTAGGTGATTGTTTTCTTGTTTAATTTACCCTATGGTACTGGTGATTGAATCCATGGCCTTTGCAATGAACTCTGTCCCTAACCCTTTTGATTTGTGCTTAAATTACTGAGTTACCCAGACTAGGCTTGAACTTCCTATCATCCTGCTTTATCCTTGCAGAGTGCTAGAATTATAGGCATATGTGTGCCACCAAGACCAGTCAGTTTCTTTTGTGGTTTTCCAGTTCATAGTAATTAATTACCAACATCCTTATCGTTAGTGTTATGTAAAAATGTGAAGAATTCAGTTTGCTTTAAAGATAGAAAATACTTCAATTGTAATCTGCTTAAGCCTAATTCATTACATTTAAGTGTTCCAATTTTTGCCATTGTTAAAAACAACTGTGTAGGGCTGGAGAGATGGCTCAGTGGTCTAAAGCACCTACTTGAAACAAGCTTGGCAAAGCACAGGGACCGCGGTTCGATCCTCCAGCACCACATGCCAGCCAGCCCTGCCCCCTGGTGGGCTGAGCTGGCCACCCACACACACACACACACACACACACACACACAATAAATAAATGTAATAAATAAAAATAGAATAAATAAATATTAAAAAAAAAAGAAAACAAAAGCCAATGTAAAAAGACAGAGTAAAACAACTACAACACCCTGAAAAAAAATAAAAAATAAAAAAAAAACAACTGTGTAGACCAACAACCAAAAAGTCAGAATCAAAGCCAACAGGACAAAGCTGGTATTGGAATATTATTCAAGGAACAAAATTGATAAAACTCTTTCTTAAGAGAATAGTTTGTATATATGTCTATATCTACCTATTTTTTAAAAATGTATATTTAGTACAGGGTCTCATTACACAGATGGGACACAGTGAGTCTCATGTTTTTAGCCACCCAAGTGCTGGGATTACAGGTGTGTACCACCACACCCAGTCTCAGTCTGAGTGCACCCTGCATCAGGGGCCAGCATGGCACACTGGGGATTGAACCCCAGTCCCTGTGCCTATCTTTTTTTTTTTTTTGTGGAACCAGGGATTGAACTCAGGCCTTTGCGCTTGCCAGGGAAGCGCTTATTCTACTGAGCTATCTGGCTGGCCCTACCAGTTGGTTTATATTATAAATAAACCATGTTATATATATTCAGTTTGAAACTATATCATTGACATTTACAGTTCACTGAAATACAAAAATTTCATGTTAAATTTTGCGTGTCACATGTTAAGATTAGAAGTAGAAAATAATCTGGCGTAAAACATTTATAGTTATAAAAGCTAGTTAAGTATTGATCATGTGAACATGTTCTTAAATTTAGTCTTCTGAAACCCTGTGTGTTTTGAGACTCATATTTTGTGTATGTCCAATGTAATTGGTAGGGACATTTAGGTTTCCTTAGGTTACTTTCACATTTAGAGTATTGCAGGAAGCAGAGATCTTTGATCTGTGTGACTCCTGAGGTGACTACATTCATGAGAAATGCAAAGTGGGGAGACTCAAGTTTCTACTTCAAGTATCATCTTCCAGTGTCATTTAACTACAGAATGACATAGGAACCAACAAAATGTTTCTTTCATAATCACGTGGTGGAACTCAACATATTACTTTAAGAGAAATTAATTGGAGTCAAAGGTTGGAAATTATTTTTTTTTAGGAGTAAACTCAGTATTGCCTCTTATTGTTGTTGGGTTGCAGTGATGTTAGACTGCAGTCTTTTTCCTCAGTTCAGTCTGCTAATCAACCTTTTTTCCACTATAGCCTCATCTGCACAAGATTGTGAACAGCTCCATGGAGCTTGCACAGACTGCCAAGGAACCCTACAACTACTTCTTGCTGCTTCGAGCCCTGTTCCGTTCTATTGGTGGAGGTAGCCATGATCTCTTGTATCAGGAATTTTTACCTCTCCTCCCTAACCTCCTCCAAGGTTAGAGCAGTGGCTTTGTTTCCTAGTTGGATGTGTGTGTGTGTGTGTGTGTGTATTGCTGCCTTGATTGCTGCTGCTTATCTGTGAGGGTCATCATGAGGTGGGGTGGGATGTGTGTGTAAGCCTCCCTTCTCCTCTTTGAAGGAGGTGGGGCTTAGAAGGGAGTCCTGTTAGGAGTGGGCTGTGTCCTTCCTAATGAGGGTCAAGTGGGATTTGGAAGATTTTAGTTACGATATGACTTGGTTGCATTTTTGTAGCATTTGGCAAGAAGGTCTTTCTAGAAAGAGTACAGTTTCTAGAAGGAAAAGACAAGCTATAAAACTAATTTAAAGTTAGTTTATGGGCCCAGGGAGATGGCTTAGTAGAAAAAGCTTGAAGGGCCTGAGTTCAATCCCTGGTTCTGCCCAAAATAAATAAATAAATAAAATTAGTTTATAATTTTTAGTTTATAATTTGCATAACTAGGACCCTAGAATTCTTGTATTTAGGAATGTTCTCAAGATACACAGGTAAAAGGGATCTTAGGTCCATTGAATGTTTATGGAGGATGAAAACACTGTCAAGGGTTTTTTAAATTTTCTTCATAAGGTGAACTCTTGGGTAAGCATTGGATTTTTTTCCTCATTTTTCTTGCAAATTCCTTGAAAAGAAGTATATACAACTTAGTATAACTAAGAGGCACCTGGGACATATTTGACTATGTAGGATAAAAATAGTTGCTAATCACCTCAGATGGGCCTTAATTAGGTCCCTTGTTCATATTTAGCTCCATCTCAAGTTGTGCTCCTCTTTCCTTACATTTTTTCTTAGTTGATTTCTTTCTGGAACACTTTTTACTCTGCATCTCTGAGCTTCTGTCTTCCTAGTTTATTAAATTAGCCAGTGCTCTACTGGGATCTTCGATTTGTCTTCACTGCCTTCTTGGAGTTCTGAACTTGTTCTGTTTCTCTGTGAACTTCTCTTCTGAGTTGTCTTCCCATGGTTACACTAGTGCTGCACAGAATGTGCAGAATGGTGCTACCATGAAATGCCTTTCTCTTGGTCTTTAGAAGGCCTCAGAAGGGACCTTCTATTTGACAATGCTCCTGAAGGGTGGGAGATTCATTTTGTAGGAAGGTGGCTTTTCTATATTTATAGTGAACAAAACTAAAATTAAGCAAAGTACTTACTTTAGAGCACTGATGATGAACACGTCAGACTACAGTATATGTCTTTAAATTGGACTTATTAATAGTGCTTATTCACTTTTTTAAAGATACTGGCTTATTTATTTTTTAGAAACTGCATTATAAAACTGCATGGTGGGGGTGCTGGTGAGATGGCTCAGTGGTCTAAAGCACCTACTTAGAACAAGCTAAGCCAAGCAAAGCACAGGGACCGCGGTTCAATCCCCCAGCACCACATGCCAGCCAGCCCCGCCCCCTGGTGGGCTGAGCTGGCCAGACACACACACACAAAATAAATAAATAAAATTATTTTTTAAAAAAAACCAAAACTGCATGATGGGGCCAGTGTGATAGCTCAGTGGAAAAAGCGCTTCCCTGGCAAGCGCAAGGGCCTGAGTTCAATCCTTGGTTCTGCAAAACAAAACCAAACAAACAAAAAAGCTGCATGGTTTTTGAGATACTGCGTTATAGAAACATAATTTATAACAATTACATATGCTGGGCCAGGGAGATTACTCAGTGTAGTAAGTACTTGCTTGGCAAACGCAAGGTCCTGAATTTGATCCCTGGTACCACCAAAAAAAATTTTACATATACTTATAGGCCTGCTCTTGGCACTGCAAGAGGGCTCATGAATGTTAACTTCAGATTATAGTGCAGATTTAAAACTAATAGAGTAAAAAAAAAAAAAAATAAATAAATAAATAAATAAAATAAAACAAAACTAATAGAGTGTATGGTCACAAGAATTCTTGATGAGGGGCCAGAGAGATGGCTCAGTGAAATAAGCACTTCCCTGGCAAATGCAAGGACCTGAGTTCAATCCTCAGTTCTGCAAAAAAAAAAAAAAATTCTGGATGATATGTAGCAAAAAGTGGACCAGTAAATGTTTTATTGCTAGCTGTGGTGTACATCTTGTAAATGTTCCTCCTCTCTGACAGTCTGAAACCTTATTCTCAGGTCTGAACATGTTGCAGAGTGGCCTACACAAGCAGCACATGAAGGACCTTTTTGTGGAGCTGTGTCTCACAGTACCTGTGAGGCTGAGCTCCCTCTTGCCGTATCTACCCATGTTAATGGATCCCTTGGTATCTGCCCTCAATGGGTCTCAAACTTTGGTCAGCCAGGGCTTGAGGACCCTGGAGTTATGTGTGGACAACCTGCAGCCTGATTTCCTCTATGACCATATCCAGCCTGTGCGTGCGGAGCTCATGCAGGTAGGTCTGCCTTCACCTCAGCACGAGAGCAGAAGTACTGCCCCACAGGTCTAGTCTCTAGGAGGATTCAGCCATCACTGGGCTTTCCTCAGACAGGCTGTCTGAAAAATGGAGTGCTGTGGCTTCTTGCTTGCTTCTGATGTACTAAAAGATGTACAGAAATATTGCAGGTATTGAATGGATTCTTTTGCCTTTTTCTGAGAGCTTTCACAAGTGTTACATTCTGTTACCCAAAGGTTATAGTGTACTCCTTTACCTCTATAGCATAGATTCTTCTTTGCCTTTTTTTTGAGAGCTTTCACAAGTGTTACATTCTCAGTAAGCTGATGAGTTGTGAAGGCAAAGGTTATGGGTGCTGCCTCTCTCTGGTTGTTCCCAGCAGGAAATCTGTCCACACGGACCTTCAATTGCATAATAAAGGGATGCAGACTTTTAAAGGGAAGTTTGGGTGTCTGCCCTGTCCTGCCCTAAGAAAAAAGAATTCCATGAAGGAGATTGTTTTAAAGATTTTTGAATTTTTTTATTTATTAAAGTTCATATTAAGTCTCTTATACTTTCCTTGTTGTGCTGCTGTTACAATTTGTGATGTGTTTAGTGACAAACATTTGAATTATCTGCTGTTTACTCCTCTACCCCTGTAGCATAGAGCATTTGAGCTTAGATGAGATCATGGTACTAGCCTTACCTGATAGAGGTTCAGTAATAAGGACAGGGTTCTTAGGACATACTGGATTGGAGGCTGCATCTTGGACTTGCAGTTAAGATTGGGAGACTTGGGCTGGCCAGATAGCTCAGCGGATTAAAGTACCTGCTTAGGGTTAGGCAGAGTATAGAAGCTAGGGTTTGATCCTGGCGTGCCGTGCCAGCCCCGCTCCTGGGGCACACTGAGACATCAATTAAAACTGGGCATGGTGGCACGCACTTGTAATCCCAGCACTTGGGAGGCTGAAAACAGGAGAATGAGACCCTGATGGGGAGAGGAAAGACCTTACTGTGGCTCCTGATTTGAAAGCAGGAGTGTTGGTTATAATAGGCCAAGTTTGGTCTTGACTCAAGTACAGCATGTATGAGCAGAATATGAAGAGAAGAGGCAGAGGGTGGGTCCTGATACCTAAGGACAAGGTCAGTGCTGCTTCTTGCCATACTACGAGGCAGATAACCCTGCGGGGGGGTGGGGGCAAGGTCACGCTGCATTTTTTGAGGCACATTAAAGCCTACCCTATGCCTATGGACAAGTGGCAGAGTGTTGGGTCTTTCCTCACCTTTGCTTTGTGTAGAGAAATGCAGCAATTTTATTTTGACCATTGGTGGACTTAGCATTTGTTGGTTTTACAGATGCCGATTTAAGAAAATACACTCACAGCATGAATTGTAGTCATTTTTACAATATAGAAAATTTAGGTGAAATGAACATGGGGATATTTCCTGAGGTTTTGGTGCCATTGAGTATGTTCTTTAAGTGCAGCCTAAAACTGAGCTAGTCTCTGTAGTTTCGTGACTGAGATACCTCACCCTCAAACCCCAGAGTGGGAATACCAGTGAGTTGCTCTTCTGTGTGTCCTGTGCACTGTGTACCTGGTTATATATTGCTTCACAGGTTGGCTCTTGAGCCCTGCTGTGTACATTGTGCTACCCTTGTATGCAGCTGCGTGAAAGCACATTTACATACATGTTTTTTTGGTGAAGATTGAAATTCTTGGAGGAAGACATACCCAGCTAATAATATCAGTTTCCCTCGAAACAACAGTGGGATACAGAGGTCGGAGGAAGAACTTTTACCATGTAATGTTTTATGAGGTAGAATTCTGAATCCTCAGCCAGGTGAACCTGTTACTAGGAAGAGCTTCACAAAAGTGTGTTGGTTTTAGGCTTTATGGCGCACTTTACGAAATCCTGCAGATAGCATCTCTCATGTGGCCTACCGAGTACTTGGCAAATTTGGTGGCAGTAACAGGAAGATGTTAAAAGAATCTCAGAAGTTACACTATGTTGTGACTGAAGTTCAAGGCCCCAGCATTACTGTGGAATTCTCTGATTGCAAAGCATCTCTTCAGCTCCCAATGGAGAAGGTAAAGTGGCAAGTCTTTGGGGAGCTTTGTAAAGGTATTGTGTTTTCTTTATAAGAAAGTTTTAATTTCTGTTTAAAATAGGTAAATAAGACTTGTTTTGGAGGGAAGGGAATTGTCAGCTTGGATAAGAACAAAGTTATGCGATGATCTCTTATTGTTGTGAGGGCAGCAGAGGACCTGTTGCCCTGGAAACTTGAGAACCTTGAATAGTTTTCTATCTTTCTAGATGATCATTCTTGAATTCTTGGTCTTTTGCTCCCACCCATCAGATTTTATTGGTACATTTTAGATATACATAGTGATCACATTTATAGTAGATAATTTGTACCTGTAAATGATAAAAATTTTTCCCCATTCGCCTCTCCTCACGCTCTTCATCCCCTCTAATTACAGAAGATTTGTTGCCATTTTTTTTTTTCTTTTCTTTCTGTCTTTGTGGGAGGGAGAGATTGTAAAAGATATGTTTCCATTTTTTCCTTTTCTTTCTCTTTTGTTAACTTACTCTTTCTCCTCCCCTTTGTTCCTCTCCCCATTTCTTGGTCTGTTTTGATCCCAGTGGGCTTTATGTCTAGTGTCACTAAGAATCCAAGTTGATTCTGCCCTTGTCTGTGAACATGGTCATTCCAGTACCTAGTTTTCTCCATTCTCTTTCCAAACATAGCTTATGCTGTCTGTGTCCTAGCTCTTACGTGTGTGTAGTTAAAGCTGTTAAGGGGCTTACCTGTTTGCTTTTGTGATTATGCCTCCTTTGTCTCCCTGAACAATCTAACTGATAAGAATTGGGAAATAAATATGTTTGTCTTTACATAGTTATGTAGATTTTTTGAAGAAAAAATGTAAACATTTTGTTCCTTTAAAAAGGAAGGGAATTTAGTAAAAGCTTATGCTATCTTTTAGGTTTGAATTTAAATACAGGAGAGTCTATGAACTTTCATGTAGACTCTTCAAGTGTGTCGGTGACATAGACTATAATACAGCAAATGTGATTACCACAAGAGTCCTGAGCCCGTTTCTGTAATCCCCCTTTGGCTATGGAGACATGAAGTTATTCAACATCCTTTTACATTTCCATTTGGTGAACATTTGTTGGGATAGCAGCCCACTGCAAAAGAAAACAAAAATTAAGATTTTTTTGGGAGCTGCCAGTGCTTTAAGAGAAAACTTTTTCAGAATCTAATTTTGGTGCAAGTTTCTATGGGTTTTTTGTTGTTGCAGGCCATTGAAACTGCTCTGGACTGCCTGAAAAGTGCCAACACAGAGCCCTACTACCGGAGGCAGGCATGGGAGGTAATCAAGTGCTTTCTGGTGGCCATGATGAGCCTCGAGGACAATAAGCATGCACTCTACCAGCTTCTCGCGCACCCCAAGTACGTGCTCATCTCCTTCTCTGTGACTGGCTATGCCTTCCTGCAGGAATAAGGTCAAGGGGGCCTCCTAGGTTTCTCAGTGTCAGGAGCATGTTCGTTCAAGTCAGAGAGACATGTACTACTTAGCTTTGGTCTCTAGAAAAAATAGAGCAGGACTTAGGAAAATAGAAAGAGCAGGACTTAGATGGTAAGAATTGTACTTGTTGCCTCCCATGAAGTTGTAAGCTTCGAGTAATCAAGGGTCATGTCCTTCCTGCCTTCTTTTGCTCACCATTGTATTTATAGCTCCTGCCATATGCAAAGCATTTGTTAAGACATTCTGCTATTCCAGTTTATAGAGATTTTTCTCTAAATACTTGTATGAGACAGTTTCAAATCAAATCGGAAGTACAGTTTCAACAAATAATACACTGCATATATCTAAATACTTGTTTTGATATTTGTATATATAATGGTCTTTTGAGATTACGTGTATAATGTATTGTCCTACTGTGTTGTAAGTTTTAGGGACAGATTTTTCCCATATATCTTCCCATTTCTTTTCTTTTTGTTTTCTTTCTTTTTTTTTTCAGAACTGGGATTGAACTCAGGCCCTTGCGCTTGCCAGGGAAGTGCTCATTGCACTGAGCCATCTCCCCAGCCCCTGGAAAGTTTTATTTTTTATTTTTATTTATTTTTTATTATTTATTTATTTATTTATTTATTTTGGTGGAACCAGGGATTGAACTCAGGCCCTTGCACTTGCCAGGCAAGCGCTTACTCTACTGAGCCATCTCCCCAGCCCCGAAAGTTTTAAAGAGAATGAGAAGTAGAACAGTTTGGTTGATGTCCCAGGGATGTGAGAGAACAATGGCTAAAGAGCTTTCCAGAGCTAATAAAAAATTAAACACTAGAATACATATTCGAGATCTTCAGGGATTTGAAAGCAGGATAAATAAAAAGAAATCTGTATTTTTATGCTGTTATAGTAAAACAACTAAAAGTCACAGGGAAAATCTTGTAAACTGGGAGAATAAAATGATCTTGAAGTAAATGCTGGCTTGGTAGCTTTGAAAGTTGCTGGATGGCAGATCACGTTTCATACTGGAAGAGAACACCTGCTAACCGTGAGTCATAGATCTGGTAGAATATATGACCCACAAACAAGGACGAAAGAAAGATGTTTTCAGATAAAAGCAAAAGCCTGCTCCCAGCAGATCTGCAGTAAAAGACATTCTAAAAATGAGTTTCATTCAGACCAAAGGGACATTCCTTTTGTATGATTTCAGTATGGAAGAAATAATGAAAAGCAAAGTAACAATGTGAAATAAAATGTAAATTGGATATGATCAGAGTAACAGGAGCATTTATAGACTTAAAAATCACAATAGCTTCAGGGCCAGCCAAGTAGCTCAGTGGATTAAAGCACATGCAAGCAGGACCAGGGGCCAGGGTTGAATTCCCAGGCTTGTTGTGCCGGCCCCGCCCCCTGGGCATGCTGAGATGACATTTGAGACTGGGCATGGTGGTGTGCATCTATAATCCCAGCTCTTAGGAGGCTGTAAACGGGTGGATCACTAGAAGTCCAATGTAGTAGTGAGACCCTGAACACCCTGTAGACTCTTCCCTAAAGAACCAAAAAAAAAAAAAAAAAAAAAGCCTTGAAATAATATGCTTGTTTATTATTTTGTAAACAACGTGTGGCTGATCTATGACACAGTAGAAAATACTACCCAGCAGTAAGAAGACAACTGTTACTGAGTGTAACAACATACAGTGTGCTCAGTAAAGGAAGTCAAATCCAAGACCATATATTGGAAGAGATTCCACTTGAATCTTCTAGAAAAGCCAAAAAGAAGGCCAAGAACACATCATTATTATTTGGGAACAGAAATAGAGATTGATAGGGTGATTGTTTAAAATTGGATCTTGGGGTGTTCACAGCTGCCCCCATGCTGTAGTCACTAACACCAGCGCTGCCACTTGCCAAGTTCCAGCCAAAGGAGAAGGGAGTAAGGAGATCCCTCTACCATGGCTTGTACCAAGCTGACTGACTCTAAATCCATTGCTGGTAAAGCGCCCAGGAAACAACTGGTTACAAAAGTCCCTTGAAAGTGAGCATATTCTACTGGAGGGGTGAAGAAACCTCACTATTACAGACCTAAGACTTTGGCGTACTGTGGTATTAGATGTTATCAGAAGTCCACTGAACTTTTGATTTACAAACTTCCTTTCCAGCATCTAGTTATTGCCCAAGACCTTAAAACAACTGCTTCCAGAGCAGTTTCCAGTGCTTTGCAGGAAGCAAGTAGGCCTACCTGGTTGGCCTGTTTGAAGATGCCAACTGGTGTGCCATCCATGCCAAACGTGTTAACAATTACATCAGAAGATACCCAGCTAGCGCACCAAATGTGTGGAGAACAAGCTTAAGAGTCCACCATGGTGGAGATATTTCATTCTTGAAAACTTTTTCTCTTCTCCATTATTGGTACTTCTCAGTGTTAGATTTTTTTTTTTTTTTTTTAAACACGGGATCAAAAGGTAACTAAGTACATGATTGCAAGTGGAAAATAGGGGACGAAAATCATGTATTGGCAGTTTTCCATTTTCAATTGTATTAATATTTTTGCAGGGTTGTAAGGCATTAACACAAATCGAAATGTTTCAGTGAACAAGTTTCAGCACTTCAGCTTTATAACAATTACAAATAAATCATTTAATTTTTCTTGGCATTTTTTTTTTAGACAAGGTTTCACTATGAAGTTCAGGCTGGCCTTGTACTACACTTTTGTAGCCCTCCAGGCTGATATGGAACTTACAGTGATCCTCCTGTCTCAACCTCTTGAGTGCTGGGATTACAGTCTTGCGCCACCACACCCAGTTCTGGGCCACACGGTGTGCTCAGGAAATAATTTTAATATTGACAGAAACTAAATGGTGTTTGTAGAATTTTTATCATATAGTGAATTCCATCCAGTCACTATACTTTCTGAGTTGTCTTATATGCTAGTACATGTTTTTAATGTCTTTCTGTGCTGTTTCTCTAAGTTTGCAATTAAAATACATTAAGGTGTAAAAAAAAAAATGGATCTTGGTGATGGCTTGCACAGCTATATATATTTACTGAAATTTACTGCACCACGTAATTAAAATGAATTAATTCTGTATCATATGAATCATGTCTCAATAAAGCTTGTTTTAAATAGTAGAAAAATGTTGAGCTAAGTATTTGAGTCAAAAATGTAACAAGGTGGCTGGCCAGATAGCTCAGCCAATTAAAGCAACCTGCTTAGGCAGATGCAGGGACTGGGTTTGATCCCTGGCAGGTTTGATCACCATGTGCCATGCTGGCCCCGCCACCGGGGTGAGACAGCAACAGACTGGGCATGGTGGCGTGTGCCTATCATCCCAGTGCTTGGGAGGCTGAAAACAGGATCTCTGAGTCCATTCTGTGTAGTGAGACCCTGTAGGCCCTGTGCTAAATACATAAAAGTTAAAAAAGTAACAAGAAGAAAATAGAAGAAATGAACGAAGAAAGAAAGAAAACAAACATGCATGGGGCTGGTGAGATGGCTCAGTGGTCTAAAACACCTCCTTAGAACAAGCTAAGCTAAGCAAAAGCAGAGACCGCGGTTCAATCCCCAGCACCACATGCCAGCCAGCC